AGGAAGGCAGGTTTGTAAATTGAATTGCCAACTTACCAGCTGAGTGGTAAGTTGTCTTTGGCACAGGATGCCACAGTTTGATTCCTGGCTGGATTTTTACTCCTGTGACATGAATATTAAATAAGGAGAGCCTAGCTACGCTTGTTAAAATTGGCTGTGTAGCATGTACCTACTTCTAGATACAATATATATAAAATAAATAATACTGCCAGAAGTTTCAGAAGATGAATCTCAGCACTTTGTGGAAATTGGAGTCCTTTACAGTGTCACATTGAATTTATCAAAAGCACAAGGCACTTCTGAAAACTTGATCGGTTAAAAAATACTGGGCCTTAAACACATACAGTGCTCGGATCTAAGTATTGTGCAGAAGAGAGCACTGGGTAGATGGGTTATGAGGGTGGAAGTGCCACACTGTAGGAAGGGTGGGAAACATCAATGGGGGAGGTTGTTCTTATTTTAAGTTATAGTCTGCTGTTGCCCAAAGATAGCTGAGGGTGTCAGCTCTGTTTCCTTGGATGAAATGAGAAGGTTTTTTGTTAAGCTGTGAAGATTTCTGAATTTTGAAGAAGACCTTGAAATGTTAAGTCTGGCTCTTTGTCAGTGAGTGTTGTGGCTTGAGGTTAGAACTATGGGACTTGACAGATTTTAACTTGCAGGCTCTGCTGTAGGATGCTGCAAATGAAGAAATAAAGATGAAAAACAACACCCTAAAGATCCAGCTAAAATTCATGGAAATGGTAGAAATGAAGATAATTGCCTAGATGTAGGTAGCTGGTCTATGTCAAGTAGCAGCAGAAAACGTTGTGTTCCAGCCTGCAGCCCAGAGGTGGAGGAGAGAGCTTGTGGGAAGGGAGGCCTCTGGCATAAGCAGTGAAAGATTAAAGAGGATGAAAAAGATGAATGTTATCAGGTGCAGTCATTCTACATGTCTGCAGCATGGCTGTCAAGCATAGCCTGCTAACCTGTTGAAAAAGTGGTATCTATGCAATGCTGCGGACATTCTCTTACAGCTGCTGTTTGGTCTAGGCATGCTTGATGCCAAACAGGAAGGTGCAAATAAAACCCCAAATTTTCTTAACATTCTGTGTGGAAATTGCAGGATGTTGAAGAGAGTACAGAAAGTATGGGGTCATGTTCTGTGACATGGCTGCAAAGGATGCTGTGAAGAGAGAAACCAGATCTCCTAAGCATTTGAGCTTGGAACTCATCTCTCATGAGTTATCAAGGATGAGCCCCAGAACAAAACACTAAGCCTTATATAAGGGGCAAAATTTGAACTGCAGACAGTATTTTTGCATTACTCGCTAATATAACGACAGATAAAGCAGTTGAGATATATACGTAGGCGTGTAGGAAAGGGAGGTAAAACTATGATGAAGCTAACGGTAACCTGCGGTTTTCTCTTTCTTCTCCAACGCTTGACAACAGAGATCCAGATTTGTCATGTGAAGATAGGTGATAGCTTGTTGCAACAAAATGCTAAGCAATTTGAAGAATGCTGCAGCATTTTGTCGAATTTTAAGGGCATGTCCAGTTAACTCAGTGTGAGTCAAATAAATATATAAAGCATTTGGACTGTTTTGGGTAAATTTGTCTTAATGGGTTAGGAGATGAAAAATCAAATTACTCTGCACCTGTATAAAAGGGGAAGTATAAGAAAGGAGGGTGTTTATGAAAGAGTCATATACTTAATTTATAGGATTGCAGACTTGACAGTTCATGTCTCTTTTGTCAGTAGACACAAATATGTATGGTGAATGAATTACTTACAAAGAGATTTTTCTGTTGGTAGGAAACTTTTGGGTTTTTGTCTCTTTCCCATCCTCTTTCTGTGGGAGGGGAGGGGAAGGAGGCAAGGGAAAGCTGGGAGCAAGTTGACCTGTGCCGATGTTGTCAGTTTTCAACATGATTGAAACACAAGTTGCAGCAAGGCCAGTGTTTGCATCCCAAGGTTTTAAAATGCTGGTCTTGCATGTAAATCTTAATACTGGTATCTCATCATCTCATGTACTCTCTCTCCTGGTTTGCATGGGATGACTGTAATTTTAGGATTTATTAGCACTCCTCACCCAGGACTTCAGGGAGATCGCAGTGTGTATGTGAAAACAGAAAGCAGAAAAACATACTTTCAGGTTTAACTTTCAGTTTCTAATCTCTTAGATGTTTCTTGGAATTACAAAGAGGTGATGTCAAAATTGAAAATCCTAATATGCAGGCATACTTAGCACCTGCAAACTTCAGGCTTGATTTTGCAATACATTTCACTGTAGTGCGAGTACTAAAATCTGATTATAAAGACAATAATTTCCTTTTCATTTAACTTCTTTTTCTCCCCCCATCCCTTTTGGACCTCAATCAAGCAAATGATGATGTCCTAATCAGTTTCTGGCTTTAGTTCGATTGCCCTGTCAAAAGTGTTTCTGTGTTTTAGTGCGCTGTAGAAAAGCCTTCTGCTAATTTGTTAAAACATTTTTGCTAAAACTAGAAACACCTCAGAGTACCTATTCTAAGGTTTTTCTGCTGTTGTCTGATGGTGTTGCCTTTTCATGTTAATAGCATATAATACTTTATTTCGTGCTGAATTTGATTAAGCTTAAAAATCAGCTCCTTGAAATACCCACGTATAGGTTTTGGAAGTTTTCAGCAAGAAGTCTGAAGGCTTGATTTATGAACACGTTGGAAAGAATTGAATGGTGTGATGTGCCTTTTTAATCAGACGATCATTGCCTAATTGATTTTTTTTTTTCCCGGATGCATTAAAATTCCTTGTGTACTTGATGGACTGGAACAACAACTTATTGTGTAAATAGGATCATGTTGCTATAATGCATAGTAAATTCTTTATGAAAGATAGTTGCATTGATATGTACAATAGCTATTCCTAATAGCTGTTTAAAATGGAGTATTTCAGTACTTTTTTTTACTGATTATGCCTTGAGCCTACTTGCAGTAAGTCAGTTACTTAGTCAAAAATAAATGTTGTCAGTGTCCTCCTAGTTTTAAGAGTGGAACTGTAAATATTCAGAGAAATATGTTTATCTTTTTTTTCTTTTCTTTAATGTACAGATTATTTTGAGGATTAAGGAAAATATACTGTCATGTGTTTTTGTGGTGTTTTTTTTTTTTTTAAATCTTACGTGGCAGGTTTCAACTTGGAGTAATTTTTTTTTAAAGGGGCAGAGAAGTTGTAAAACCTCTGGGAATGTGCAGCAAGGATTTATTGTAATGGAAACTGCAAGTCAACCAGAACTATAGCAGCACCAATGTGATTACCTCATTTAGGAAAGGGTTTACAGTGCTCATATTGGGTAATGTCCCAGATTGGAAATGTCGAATTTACGC